AACATATTTAACACCGTAAATCTCAGCATTAATATCCAAAGTTTCATGTCTTAATAACTTGGCATTATATTTTTTTAATAAGATGGCATATTCAAAGAAATCGCAAATAGCATCAAAATCTGTTGAAGGATGTTGAGATCTGAAACATGGTAGGTTATTATCGTATCCCACTTCACAGAGACGTCTTGCTAATTTTGCAGTAGAAAAGCTTGGTTTTTGTAAATCTTCTGATTTGTAACATGGAACAGAGTTCATTTTCAAAGGATCTTGACAATAATTTTCCTCTTTATATTTTTCATTAATGCAGCGAGAAATAATATCTTCTGTAGTGGTCACATTACCGAAGACGCATGATTTGTTTATCATTTTGATCGACTTAGGAATAAGACCAATTGACCTTTTTTTATCAGGTTGAACAGATTTATTATCGTTATTGCCCATCTTGTGAATTACCGAGGTTTGGTCTTGATTGGTTTTGTTAAAAATATAGTTCATAGGAAGGTTTTTAAAAAAATTTTCAAAATTTTTCATTTGAATTTCTGATATTTTATCGTTAATCGTTATATAACAATTCGAATTTGTCAATTGAATCCAAATTTGGGTAGTAGTGCTATTTCGTGTAAATTGTGTAAATTGTGTAAACGTTAATTAAATAGATTGTTCATCGTTATAAATTAGTCACACATTGTACAATCGAAATTAAAAGACGCAAAAAACGGATAATTTCTTAACAAAGATTACTTTGCTTGAAACAATTATGAATTTACCTTATTAAAAAAGTAAAGAGTTTTTTTTTTTTTTTTCTTAATCGACACGAAATTGACTTATCAAACCAACCAAATTTTTTTTTTTGTTAAAAAAAGAAAAAATTGTAAAAATAAATTATTTTCGTTGTTTGAAAACGATTTAAACGTTATTTTCTTGAAGCATTTTAACTTTATGCTCCATCTAAATACAGTTTAGACCCTAAAAATAACCACCCTAAATGCAGTTTAAACTCTAGCCCAGATCTATACTTAACCCCGTACGTAAATGCAGTTTTAATAATATTGTTCTCTAAAAATGCATTTTCTAAAGTTTAAGCTCTAAGGGCTGCATTGAGTACCCAGACTTGTGTGATTTGAATCCCATTTTTAGTCAGTATAATAAAAATTTTGATTATGCAATATTGATGCATGAAGATAAATATATACATATTTAAAGTTGATTTCAATATAATAGGATACTATTTGTAATAGGGAGAATTCCCTCTCGTGGGATAAATTTACGAGATGTGAGATGACTTCATGCAATTTGCCACCCCAAAATTTAATCTACGTATAGGCAGCCACTGCGCATAGCCAAAATAGATAACTAATAAGATAAAGCATAGACTATCTTATTATTACTAATAACTAGAGATGCCTGATGCAAAGTCACAGCCTTTGCATCCTTTCAAACTTATTTGCGACCCTTGCGAACACCTTTCTACAAAAAAGTGTAAGACCTCAGAGCCGCAAGGTCAAAAGTTAGACGCAAATATGCAAGATGCAAAAATATTGCAAATCATATGATCGCAAAGTAATGGTTTTTCGATTTAAGTTAATAAAATTTAATTATATCATAATATATAAACAGTTATACGAAATAGCAATTGCAATATTGCATTATATTATATCGATATTGTATATATGTGACATCACGATATTAGGTATATTGCAGTTGCGACATCACGAATTTAGTATATTGCGAAATCATGACATTATGGTATGTTTTTTATTTACAATAATTTATGCTTTTTAAATATAAAATTTAAATTATGTCGCAATTTCCATTACAGCTAAAAAAAAAAGGTCGCAAGCAATACTATTAATAACAAATTAGGTATAATAAATTGAACACTTGAATGTTCTATAGAAATTACTACACGGAGAACTGTGTTCTAGGTTGATAGGTTGATACGTATACCATGGTGGCTGATAGTTTGATTTCTCTGTAATAGTCGTGCGTACAACTTTTTTTTTCTAAAAGAACTTTGAAATGAAGCGCCAAGTATGCACATTGTACATGTCCTAAACATTAAATTTTTACGCATAAAAAAGATGTGAGTCTCAAGTGATCTACTTCACGTGTCCGGACAACGGAATGACACTGCATTGTTTACTTGTACATTGATAATCTTCCTTAATAGTCTTCCGCATTGCTCCGGACTACATCATAATTTATGTCACCATTGGCTGCGACGACGCCTAAGAAGTTAGTGCCACTTAAGTATATATTTTAGGCGAATAAAATAGCTAATTTAATGCTAATTATTTTCTAAGATATTTCTGCATTCTTTTTGACGTCATTTTTCAATTAAAAATGGGTCAATGTTTTCATTTGTCATATAAAGCTTTTTTTTTGTTGGGCTGATAAAGTGACACAATTTAATCTTTGACTACGTCGAATTGATTTGTTTGTCAAATAGAGTTCTATTGAAAAAGATAAGTAATCAACTTACTCACCGATACAATTAAAACTTTTCGTACCAGATAAATCATTGATCTATTCGACTTTATGCTAAATTGAAATATACCAAGCGAAGCTTAAAGTTTTAGATATAAAAATATCAAAATAATATTTTGGCATGCTTGTCATAAAACTCTCATATCTCTAATGAACTTAAAATAGTTATTTTGATATCTGTCAAAAAAATATGATTAACCGAAATCAGAAATCAAAAAGACATTAACGTTAAGCCATTATGGTATATCAATTCGGTATACATTATTCTGACGCCCGAAATTTGAGTTTAAGAAAATGGTTACTTGAACGTGAACAACCAGATAGTATACTAAGCTTGCATGTTAAGCACAGATTCTAGTATAAAACATCGCGCATATTTTATTTACGTGTGATAATGCATTTTCTTGTACAATTACGTGTCATAAATTTGATTATGATTATTAAATTTCGTGCAATGATTAAAAATATGTC